TAACAAAGAAACAGAATTTCCGGAGGATGAGGCCCAGAAATCAGGATTTTAAAAAGATTCCCAGGTGATTCTAATGTGCAGCCAAGGTTGAGAACCGCTGACTTAGAGGCTATGATCTCATTTCAACTTTACAAAAGCCTGTCAGGGAGGAACTGCCTCTGTCCCTCCAGCTCCGCAGGGTCAAGACCACGTGCTCTACTGCAGCCTTCGCCAACCTTTCGGGCCTCATGGACCAGGTCCCCAACCTCTCGGACCTCACGGACCACCAGGGATTGGCGACCGCTGCTCTACTGTGTCTCCTTCAGGGCTGTGCTCACCATGAGGGGCAGCCCCCATGAGGCACGGCCCCCCTGCCCCCTTCTCCCTGCCGCCCCCCCCCAGCCGTGCTTGGGCCACTGTGCTGGACACAGGCCGTGGCTTGTTGAGAAGGAACCCACTTACCCCAGACTTGCCCAGCCGTTCCGAGCCTGCTAGATCCACCAAGTTAATTTTGGAAGTGATGTACTTTTCATCCGATAGGGTCCGTGAACGGGCCTGTGAAACATCCAAACAGATGAGACTGAGGCTTCCCGGGGAGGCCTCCTGGCTGAGGCCCAGGGCACGGACCACGACGCCCGGGCGTGCGAAGGGCTCGCACCCACCTCCACGTAGATGGTGAAGATGCAGTGGGACCTGGACGAGTTCTTGTTCATCGTGTGGGAGGCGATGATCCTGTTGGTTTCTCCCTGAAGAGGAGGGGAAACGTGGATGATATTTTGAAAAATGTAAATAACCAGGCACTTGAGTCGTTGGAACGATACCGACAGCTGCACAGTGAGTGCTCCTCACCGCAGGCAGCCGGGCCTTCCGGCAGATCTCATTTAGGAGCCAGTCGAGCGGGAGACAAGTCCAGATCTATTCTTAGACCCGCTGCTGGGGTGAATGGACTTGCATAGCTGTCCAAAAAGCAAAGTGGCAGGGAGTTTGACGTGCCTTCGAAATGTTCATAAATATCGAGTCGCAATCGACCTTCGTATCCAACAGGTAGGGAATGATCTATCTGTACAGGGGAATGCTACGCAGGTGGACAATACTGACAAAGAGTTTTTAGTAACAGAGAGAAGCAGAATCCAAAGTCATAGCACACTGACTTGGGCACCACGTTACGAGGATCATACGCCACGACCAAGTGGGATTTACCCCTGGGATGCGAGGATGGTTTGACATCAGCACGTCAGCCAAGGGGAAACGCACACGACCACTATGGAGGACAACGTTCTGTGAGGGCACAGGCGAAGGCAGGCGAAGGCACCCGTGGGAGGAAGAACAAACAGGTGCTGCCGCCAAGATGTTCGTGACAGTCACTTCTTGGCTGGGGGCTGATGGGTCATTTTTCTTCTTCTACAGGTTTGTGCTTCCATTTTATTTTTTTGACAGTGAACACGTACTGCTATTAAAAATGTGGCGGGAGCCCAGCCAGCGTGGCTCAGTGGTTGAGCGACAACCTATGAACCAGGAGGTCACAGTTCGATTCCCGATCAGGGCGCATGCCCAGGTTGTGGGCTCGATCCCCAGTGCGGGGTGTGCAGGAGGCAGTCGATCTATGATTCTCTCTCATCATTGATGTTTCTATTTCTCTCTCCCTCTCCCTTCCTCTCTGAAATCAATTTAAAAAATATATATACAAATCACCAATATCCTTGCAGGTCAGGTTAGCCATATAACTATTATTACATGTGCAATGGTTAAGTCATGACAGGTTTTAAGGTATTGCTATTTTTAAAATATATTTTATTGATTTTTTACAGAGAGGAGGGGAGAGGGATAGAGAGCCAGAAACACCGATGAGAGAGAAACATCCATCAGCTGCCTCCTGCACACTCCCCACCGGGGATGTGCCCACAACCAAGTCACATGCCCGTGACCGGAATTGAACCCGGGACCCTTGAGTCCACAGGCCGACTCTCTATCCACTGAGCCAAACCGGTTAGGGCAAAAAAATATATTTTTTAAAAATGGGGGGAGGAAACAATAATTGGTGCTTTTATTTTATTTTATTTTTTATTGATTTCAGAGAGAAAAGGAGAGGGAGAGAGAAATAGAAACATCAATGATGAGGGTGAAAGTGAATCATTGATTGGCTGCCTCCTCCACTCCCCTACTGGGGATCGAGCCTGCAACCCCGGCCTGTGCCCTGAGCTGTGATTCATGGGTGGATGCTCAACCACTGAGACACCCTGGCCGGGCTCACCTGGCCTTGTTTTGTTTGAGATTCGCCATGCTGCAGCTGCCTCAGCGCTCCGCTGTATTTTCATTGCTAAATGGTTTTCCATTGTATGGACGTAATACTTGTTTACTCATCAGCGTTGACAGACACTTGGTTATTCCCAGTCTTTGGCTGTTACAGACAACACTGCCAGGAACACTTGTGTAAAGCCTCTGTGTGTGTGAACACTTTTATTTTGGGGGATACATTTCTAGGAGTGGAACTGCTAGGTCCTATGGATAAAAGGGCTTCACCATTTTACACGTCACCAGCAATGTATGAGTTCCAGCCAATACGACTTTTAAAAGAATAGCATACACTACGGAATTTTTTAATTGATTTGTAAAAGGTACTAAGGACATTAATCCTTATTTTTTTCTATACCACAAATGCCCATGATTTAATGTTAACTGCGGGGGGCGGGGGGGGGGGGGACAATTCCAACTACATAAAGAAAAAACTGCCCAGGAAAAAAAGACTAGAAGGAAATAAGCCAACATATACATTATTGTTGCCACATGTAGAAAACAAATAAGTAAATTTATATTCATATATGTGTGTATATATGTATATATTTTTATTTTTGAGAGAGAGTGGAGCAGGAGAGACAGAGAGAGAGAGAAACATCGATTGATTGCCTCCCACACAGGGATTGAGCCTGCAACCGAGGTCCATGCCTTTGACCAGAAACGAACTCGGGACCCTTCAGTCTGCGAGCCGACGCTCTCTCCACTGAGCCAAACTGGCCAGG